CGCTTGCGCAGCAGGCGGTGAAACCACTGAGCTAAATCCCTGACCGAAGAATTTCTTAATAGTATTAACAAAGCAATATTCTGTATTTGTGTGTATCTGTGTGTATAGTTTATATATAGTATTGGAGTTGTCATTCTGTATTCTGGAGTTGTATTCTGTAAATTTATTTATTTATTTATTTATTTTTGGTACCAGGGATCAAACTCAGGTCCTTGCACTTGCGCAGCAGGCGGTGAAACCACTGAGCTAAATCCCTGGCCCTCTGTATGTAATTTTAGAAACACAATATAGATAGGACTACTTTCTCTTCTTTTGGTTTAATGCAAAATATAGTGGCCTAAATTTTTAACTTTTTGTCTTTAATGTTTACTTTTAATAACCAAGTTGTCTTAGAGAAGACTAAAACTACAAAATAATTATCCCAACATTCTGTTAAAGAAAACCAGTGTGAAAGTCAGTCAGTCTCAGGTTCCAAGCGTATTGATTTACTGACTCATCAAAATCACAGCAGAAAAAGAAACTCCCAGTGATAATTTCTATATTCCTTGGTCATTCCTTAAAGGATATGTTATAATGAATAAACATATGCAGCATTATTTTTTGTAGTTGAGTAATCTCATAAATATAATAGGTTCTAATCTAATTTCTTTGCTTCTTTTGCATCTCTGGAAATTTTGTGAGGATTCTCTCTCTTTTTTTTGAAACAAAGATATAACATTAGATAATATGTTTTTTCTGCATTAAAATTTAACTGTTAATGTCTATTATGCCAAAATAATTATTTTTATGTAGACATAATTGGATATAAAATATGATTCCTTTTTTATATTTACACTCCAAACTAATCATTTAGTTTCATCAAAGAATATAGGCTTTATTTTTGAGAAATTCTGAAATGTTATTTTTCACTTAAAGCTATTGAGGCAATTTGTTTCTTTTGACTTAATTTATCTAGCTTTAAAAAATTGTTTCTACTATGCTGTGTCTTGAGATTTTGTGAAGTTTAAAAAAACTTTTTTTTGCTAAAGGAGTTATTCACATATTGCAATTATTGACCAATTAATTTAAGGTGATGAAAAAATTAAGGAATAAATTCTATTTAATACATTTTACATAAATTATTGAGTAACATTAATATTTCAGTTGATAACTTCAAATTTTTCATAAAAATGAAAAATTAAATCTTTAATTTTATTTCATCATATATTGTTTCTTTTTAAAAAAATGTATCAGTTACCATTAGAGGAAAATAGAATGGGATGAATGCCATAGGCTACATTTAGTTGTTTGGCTTTTAACTTTACCTTTGAGCAATGCGAATTTTCTTAGGAAGATATTTTTAGTTTATTTTTATTAATGTACCTTTTATATTACAGAAAATTTTACTTTTTTATTGCACAGTTCTGCTTGTTTTAACAAATGTATGTACTTATACAAACACCACCACAGTCAATATACAGAATATGCCTATCATATTAAAATATTCTTTAGTATTCATTTCTAGTCAGTACCTCTGCAACCTGTAAGCTTGAGACTGCTGCCATATTTTCTATCTCCATAATTTTGTCTATGGAAGAATATTATTTAATAGCAGTTATATAGTATACTGTCTTTGAATGTATCTTCTATTTACTTAGGATATTAAAGAGATTTGTTCAAGTTATGTGGACTCTAGTTCATATCTTTTTATTTCTAGGGAGAATTCCATTGTGTGGATGTATTACAGATGGTTAATCAGTTGGGATGTATCGAAGATATTTATAGTTTTTGGTGAATATTCATAAAATTGCTATGAAGATTTGCATTCATGTTTTTGAGTGAACACGGTTTTTATGTCACTTGAGTACGTAAATACCTATGAGTGAGACAGGTGGATTGTATGATGTGTTTAACTTAATCAGAAACTACCAAACTCTTTTCCCAAGTGACTGTACCACTTTGCATTCCTAGCAGTGTCAGCTGTTAGTTGCTTTCCGTCCTTGCCAGCCTTCTTTAAAAGGCATCACAGTATGTGCATAGTTGTTATTTACTCATACAGTTTGCATTTCCTTAATGACTAATGGTGTTGAAAATCTGTCAATGTTCTTATTTCCATCCACTTTTGGTGAAAATATATTTTCTAACCTTTTATTTATAGTTGAAAACAAAAATAAATCCTTAATGTATGTAAAATGTTTTGAAATGTGTATACATTGTGGTATGATTAAATCAAGCTAATTAACACATGTACTGTATCACATACTTAGTTTTCTTCAGAGTGAACACTTAAAATTTACTCCATTAGCAGTTTTTAAGCATACACTACATTGTTATTTTATCTTGTGGGTGATATCTCAATTCCTCTACCCCCAAATTCATTAACCGCCATTCTATTCTGTTACAGATTTTCTAGATTTCTGTATACTACATAAGTGAGATCATACACTATTTGTCTTTTTGTCCGTGGCTTATTTCATTGAATGTAATGTCTTCCAATTTCATCCATGTTGTTTAAAATGACAGGATGGTCTTGTTTTTAAGGGGTCAATAGTATTCCATTGTGTGTATATTGTATATTTCACATTTTCTTCATGTATTTATCTATTAATGGACACTTAGAATGATTCTCTAGTTTGGTTATTGCTGCAATGGTTATTTGGTTAATGCTGCAATGAATATGAGAGTGCAGATATCTCTTTGACATGCTGATTTCATTTTCTTTGGATATATGGCTAGCAATAGGATCACTGGATCATAGATTGTCCTACTTTTAATTCTTTAGAGAATTGTTTTCCATAAATACTGTACTAAACTCCCTTTCACAGTGTGAAGTTTTCCTTTTTATCCACATCCTCAACAGCACTTGGTATCTTTCATCTTTTTAATGATAGCTGTTTTAACAGCTGGAAAGTGATATCTTTTTATGGTTTTGACTTGCCTTGCACCGGTGATTAGTGATGTAGACAACAATTGCACACCTATTGGGCATTTTTAGGTCTTCTTTTGAGAAATATCTATTCCTTTGACCATGTTTTAATTGGGTTGTTTGCTTGCTATTGAATTGTTTGAATTCTTTATAGTTTTGGATATTAACTCCCATATCAGATACATGTTTTAAAAATACTGTCTCACATTCCATTGTTTTTTATGTGTGGTACCAAGTTATTTCAGCACTATTTGTATTCAAAAGACTACTTTTTTCTCCGTTGAATTGCCAGAACCAATTCATCATATATGCATAGGTCTATTACTGGATCATTTTTTTTCTTTCTTTTTGTCTCTGTCTGTTCTTTCTCCAATACCACTGTCTAGATTATTGCAGCTTTATAAGTATACATATCAAGTACTGTGAGTGCAGTAAATTTAAAGAGATTGTGTATTCTGCTATTTTTGTGTAAATTTTTCTCTCAATATTATTTAATTTACTTGATAATGCTATTCATGTGTTCTATGCCCTTGGTAAGAATTTTCTATTTTTGCTGTCAACTTCTGAAAGAGTGCTTTCAAATGTACTTATGGAGCTTCCTATTTCTCCTCTCAGCATTGCTTTATTTTGAATTCCTATTGTTAGGTACTTTTACATTCATTGTGTTATTTTAAAGACTGAACCAATAAAAAAGTAATGTTCCTCTATCAGTTTTCTGTTTTGTCTGACATCAATACAATTATTTCTGCTTTCTTTTAAGGTTGGCAGAGCACTTTTTATCAAGGATATTATTTTTAGGCCATTTATGTGATTTTTATGATACCATATGATTAGCTTTTTTTCTCTTTTTGCAGTACTGAGGATTGAACCCAAGCTAGCACTACACCACTAGGTTACATTTTCAGTTCATTCCCTCTTTTATTTTAGAGACAGGATCTCTCTTGGCTTGCAAGAAGCAGAGAGTGAAGGCCCCATCTGCCAATACCAAGCCAGCTCTAGTACCCCCATCATCCAATCAGCTTGCACAAGCCTTGCCCTCTGAATGCGTAGGCTTGGGAGGGGCCATCCAGATATAAACCACAACATAATTATCTTTTAAAGCCATTAAAATAAGAAAAAAATAAGTGTTATATTTACCTTCACTTATTCCTATATATATATATATATATATATCTTACCAAAGATTTTTGAACATAATAAAATTTGTCTTAGTGATTAGCAATGTAACACAACAGACCTGATTTCTCTTGCATCTGTTAAAAATTTAATGTGCTTAGGAAACTAGAAATATGTTTGACTTTATAATACTTTGTATTCACTTAGAATTTCAGAAGCATAGGACTAAGTATATCGTAAGAAGTCTTTTGGTCTGATCTACAAAGCCTGACAGGTTTACTCCAAACTAATCTTATTTTAAGATATTTTCAGAAGTTCTCTTTCTCAACTTGAATCTTAAACCTGGTTAGTGTGTAGTTTTCTGTCTTTTTCTTTTGCTTTGTGTGTCGAGTGGGAGCATTTGGACCACACCATTTGCTTTTTAATGCTCTCTTTGTAGTAACCTTATGTGCCTAGGAGAGTATTTAGTCCCTCTGTTCCATTCTCCTTTACAGGTTAAAAAAAAGAAAGGGGTGGGGGAAGGAGGGTCCCAGCTCCAAGAAGTGCAGTCTGTTCTGACCCCTATAAAAGTGCTGAACTGAGCCCCCTCCCTGATGCTATTTGGCTTATTTCACTCCAGACCTGCACTTTTGGGAAACTCTGGGATTCTGAATTTGGATGGGTGTTCTCCAAAAACTGTGATTACCTGAGCACCTGATTTGCTTGAGAGCCTACTGAGTGCAGCAACCCCGGGTATGGCATGTTACCTAAACAGGGATGGAGCAGGAGGAAAAGAGCAGGCTACGAAACCTATAATTTTCTGAGCAAACTATATTAAGTTGTGAGAAAAAAAGTACACCTGGCATCTAGGGTGTCTGATGATAGAATTTATAAACACTTGCCTATTTGGAGAGTAACTGCAAGAGACACTTATTGTCAAGTATTCCCCTTTGATCCGTGTCCAAAGCATAACATTTTCTTTTTGTCTTTTTCCCCTAAGGGGTGCTACATCAATTGTGTACAGATGCAAACAGAAGGGGACCCAGAAGCCCTTTGCTCTCAAAGTGTTAAAGAAAACAGTAAGTTTATTTCATTATATAATAGCATCTCTGAGGGACCTGTGACCTGGGGAAATCAGCAACTAGATTTAAAGGACAAAGCGGCCAGAGAGCTGCTATGTGCAGCTGGCTTGTTTGAATCCTGACTATGTGAATAAAACCCAAATAGGTTATTGTCCGATGTGACTTTGAAAGCCACGGGATCCTAAAATGGATGTGATCTGTTCGGAGAAATGTGGAAAGGGAAAACATTAGAGCTGGGGAGTAAACCTTGCTTTGTATAGCCATATTCACATAACACTTTCATATGCTAGACAACCTTGTGGTTTTTTTTTTTTTTTTTTTT